AACTTAAAAGGCAGACATTGATTCAGACAAATAAACAATTTTTTGGCTGGCTATTAATCAGTTATGTATATATACACATAGCATATAGTTCTGTTCCATTTGAAAAGAACATGCAATAAGGTCACAATTCAATTAGGAAATCAATCTGCATGCACTAAACTACTTCAGCTTCTAAATTTCTAAACTTGTAACTGAGCAACAAGCCAATCAATCAGGTCTGTAATTTGAAATTAATGTCTGTCCCTAAAACTCCAGAGCATTATGTGGAGCATATATTAATTTTCTTTTATTCATAAATATTAAAGAAAAAACAACGGGTTATGAGAAATACCTTTACGAGGCATCCACATGAATCAAGCATGTCAGTTCTTAAGGGATACTCCACTACCTACAACGTGGAAGTTCAAAACATTATGAACATGTGGCTAAATAAACCATGTGCATCTGAAACTAAAACAAATGACAGCAAACCATTACTCACTATAAAAGTATCTTCTCCAACCACTGCCGACTTAGAAATCTGACACATTAGTACCTCATAGTTAACTTCTGTGTATGGAGGTGTAACACTGATGTAATCAAATGGTCCATCTTTACCTATCAAAACCCAAATTTTAGGTTTGTTTTGAAGAGGAAGAAATATGTCATGATAAGATTATTTTACAATAAACAAGCAATTCTGGATTTACTTGTTTGAGATAAATTCTGGATTTACTTGTGTTTTGCAGTTATGTCCATCACTAAGTTTTTTTGTTTTCCAAGAAGCACACACCTATAAAATGACCTGCCTCTTCCAAGAAGTTTTCAACCCGAACAGTGTGTATAACTGAAACATCAAGAAACCCAATACATTCCAAGTTTGGTTGCAGAACATTTGAGACTACCCAAGGATCCATCTCCACAAAGTGCACCTGTTAATTCAAATGTCAACAGAGAATGAAAATTCAATGAGCTAATGGAAAAAAAACAACCGAAAGCAACAATAATTTTATACAGACAAAATCATATTCCAGATTCTGAGTCTCCTATCTCAAGACTTTTTTGACATTCTACCAAAAGGCCTGCTCATCCCGTAAAAATTAAGAAATCAGTTACCAGCCAACGGAGGAAATATCAAGAGGTGTTAAATGTCTTACTAGTTAGTTCACAATATCAAGGGAAATTTAATGCATAGAAAGTGGTACCTTAGAACATCCACGGCTGATTGCTTCAATACCAACAGATCCAGTACCGCTGTACAAGTCCAACCACCGACCAGGCCGCAAAGATGCAGGACAGCCACCAGCTACCTAAAGAATTCTGGAAAAGATCATTCTAAAAAAACTTACCTGTTTGACAACCTGTCCCTGGAGAAATAAAGATGGAAGTGCCAGATATAGTCTATACACACATGAAAGACTAGAGTAGGGACATCTTCAAGATACAATTGCTACCTGCAATATGTCAAAGGCAGCCCCTTTTACAACTTCCATCATTGGTCGCACATCCATTCCCTTTGGTGAAAGCAACTTCTTTCTTTTTGCTTTTCCTCCAAGAACCTAAAATGGTAAACACATTCCTTAATCCTAATTTACGATTAAGATAAACCACTGAAGGATCTCATTTTGACCAACTAAAATGGCCAAATTAAGCCAACATGTTCGCTTCTGAGAGTATCTTTTAGCAAAGAGAACGTGACCAGTGAAGCACTAGCAGTCTCCAAAGACTGAAAGGAAGTGAAAAGATATCGTAGCCCATTAGCAGTGTTGGATTTGTACCTCACTCCCTACATCTTTTTTCTGAAAGGAAAAAGCATATATACTCAAGAAGCACCAAGGGGGTGCAATGCAAAAAAATTTACAAGTCTAATAAAACATTAAAGAGGTTTCCTAATCCTCGCTAGAGTAACCTCACTCCCTACATGAAGGTAAAATTTTTCTGGTTTCTTCTTATAGTCAACGCCCTTGGTTTATACTTAAACCATTACAGTATCATTGTAAAGCATAATCCCTGGTTACAACACGCAAAAGTCTGCATTGTAAAACTGAAGCTACTTAAACTAACACTTTCAGTTAATTCCATAGTCTTCCCTGGTAAAGGCAGAAAATCTAAAAATAATTCTTCTCTTCCTGCTGATTTCTATGTTCAGTGTCCCATAACCAGATCTGTTAGTATGGACCCTAACAAATTGGTATGAGTCAATTCTTATGAATGAATTAGAATCTATACTTGAGAATTTTTTGACACAATCCACGAAGACCTGGGAATACGACAAATTAAAGTTTGAAATTTTAGCAGCCGATTGAATGAGTTATCCACTTGTTCTGTCCAGAGGAAGACTGACAAAGAAGCAGTCAAGTTGGTCGCCTTCAGACATGTGATGTATGACGCCCACACTCGCAGGCTAATCAAACCCCAATTCACAATCTAAACGATGCAGGGAACACTCACCTCAGCACACTCCATATGATGCTGTGCCATGCATGCACCCACAACCTGGTGCAGAGTGTGAGCGCCCTTTTCCTGCCACGTTTCTATGAAAATGGATTTTCCCAAGTTCGATGCTTCTTGCGACCTTGTCGTTTCCAGGTAGATGTGAGCATTTTTTCCAATATCAGTTAACTGCCAAAGAGGAGAGTCTCACTAACTTCCTTCCATTTAGAATCTGAAGCACAATGTGCTTTTTGAAGTTGGATCACAATTTCCTCTTTTTTTCTCATGGACAGATCTTAAAACATTAATGTCACCTTCGATTTGGATCGTTGGTGGCAAGCAACAAATTGAGAGAGAATTAAACAAATTATGGCAAACAAGAACCATGGCAGAAATCTTATTTAGAAAAAAAAGAACCATGGCAGAAATCAATACAGTTTTAGCTACTTTCCGCACAGGTGAATACTCTTAATTTGGAGCAGGAAATAGAAACTTTTTTTAGCAGGTAGCGAAGTGGAGTTGCAAGATCCCACTGATTTAACAAACGTCATGAGTCTGGCCAGGAAATATGAATGCCAAACAGACCCATTAGAGGCAACCTCGCGGCACGAATTCTCTGATACATCTGTTTTCCAATGGGCACTGCACCAGTAGCCTGTCCCTGTGACTTCTGGTCAACCTCCAGAACAGCACACCCTTTTAGTGAAGAGACTGTACATTAAAGAAATTGATAGTCAACAAGCCCAAGGCTTATGTTTTAGTTTGTGATGACAAACTTGTAACAGGCCACCACTATGATTGTCCTAGCCAGAAGTGGAAGGCTGCAGTTCACAAGAGGAACCAAAATCTGAAAAGATAGCGCTGGCTGGCAGCACAAGAAAATATGGCAGAGGCAGAAATTTCCTTGCATGTGATGTTGGCTTCTCAATCTACGCGTATGATGAAGGTTCATGGTATCTTGGAAGGTGTTATGATTCTGGG